TCTGGAAGGACGCTTGTTTTCTTCAAGCAACGCAAACATACCATTATATTTTACAGCCATTTTCTCGAATTCATTATCATTTTTCTCATTAAAATACTCCTCTGACCATTATTTGCATTGTAAAACACTTTTCCGCTATTAAAAATAGATTTCTTGTGATGATTTTGCAATTTCTATGATGCTTTGCAACCCTTGTACAAATTAAAATGTGTTTATTCTATCTAGTTACTGCATTTCAAGTTATCACTTGAAATTCAACACAAGTTATTATCATTACCGAGTCTCTGTTATTTGTATCTTATATAAAGGAAAATCTAGCTTAACTGTGACTTAGTTGTGAAATGTGTCTACTTAGGCCACTAACATACGAAGATAATAAATACTAAATTTGACTCGATAACCTTTTGCTGCCAATTTGACTAGTAAATGTTTAAATACTGTCTGTAGTTTACGCGAGTAGTACACCTTTAAATAAAGCACTTCAACGGTTTAAAACGGGATATATATTAGCTAAACTTATTTGAAACGGCCACGGGGAGACTAAAGATGGAGGAAGTCTCTAACGTCAACGTAAAAAATTGCTACGCTAGCGCCATCTGTTCCATCGAAGTTGAGATTTGGCGAAACTGAGTCCTTGCACGTATCACGTTGTTGGATATGACCACGACTGCTGCAAAGCATCCCAAACGTCGAGCCGTAGTTATTATTAATTTTCAAATAATTAAAATAAAACACTTTAACGGATAAAAACGCGATATATTAGTTAAACTTATTTGAAAATGATTTTTCTGTTGTTTTATTTAAAAAATAATTCTTTTTCAAAAACACCAGATTGTAATTCTAAGTTTGAATCCACGAAAAAGGATATAACAATTGTATCAGACCTGCCGATACTTCTACACTTATGACTAAAACGGCTACAGAAATATGTCTGCCCCATATCCACAGCACAATTAATGTAGCTATAGATGAATATATATAAAACATCGAGTTAGTCGAAGGTATTCAAAATTTATAGGCCACGGCCCAGAATTATTAACGTACCAAATATCTGTGTTATAGAGATTCTGTCAAGATATTAGGCTGTATTATGCATACAAATTGCGCGGCCATCTTGATAAGGCTTTCATTATTGATGTTACTACGTCATCAATTGATCTACACACATTTGAAGGGCTATAAGATTATGACGTCAGCGCTTTTTGCAACCGTTTTCTAGTGAAAGGGTCATATACCCTTTTAAGTGAATTTTTACAGCAGAGTAAACAGCGTTGTTCGCGTAACTCGTTACGGTACGTTTCAATGCGTTATAATGATCTATCGTAAGTTTGCCTGTTTTTTGATATATTCCAACTTACAATAAAAAATGGCATTAATAGATAAAAATAAGTTAATGAAGCCTTAACCATTTACAACATTTATCCCTGTCAAGCGTTTTCGAAGACGTCTTGAGTTCGACTTTGAGTATGAGTTGATTTTTAAAAAGTCTGTAAATCTAAAGGAAAAATGTCTGTCTCATTTTCACGGCATTTATTGCAACAAAAACTATGTTTTATTATTTTACTTTTGCGACTCATGCGATATTGATTTCTAGGAAAGTGTAATTAATATAAAGGCACGCTATATGAGAATTCACGATGTTGCTTATGTAAAAAGTTTATCTTACTAATTTTATAAAGCTTTGTTTATTCGTTTATAATACTTGTTCGAATTAAAACCATTTTTTTTGTTGGATAGCTATCAAAAAATTCGTTAAGGGCATCCGTTGCGTGCGCTGCAAAAACGGTTCAAAAGCATTATAAATGCTTTTGAACCGTTTTTTTTTTAAATTATTCTTCTTTAAATGATCTTATAACATTCACGATAGTATATGTTCATTTTTTAGAAACCACATGAACCGTTTTATTGTAATCAAATTTGGTCGATTACCTTACCTTATTACAAATTATTTATTACAGTAAGGATCAACGTAGTAATAATAATTTTACAAACAACAAACTAATGTTTCCCGCATCAGCTATACAATGTTCATATATTTTTTTATCAAGGTGGATTTCGCCCTAAGATTAGTTTTCGATTGGCGCTAAGAGCCTTATAAATAAAGATGACACAGCCCGTATCAGCTGTTCCGTTATTGCTTACAAAATGTTCACGAAATGTTATTAGGAGAATAGAATAAGGATACAAATACATACACAGTTATAATATCGTAAGCCTATGAAGAATAATATGGTTGAAAAAAAAACTCTATGACACAGATGAGACAGTCATTTTATTTGAATTCTAGGAGATTTAAAATTAATTAATTATCAACTTTTCAAACGTTATTCAATTTAGAACGCGTACTAATGTTTAAATAAAACACTTTAACGCGATATATTAGTTAAACTTATTTGGAAATGATTTTTAAATTCGGCCCGCCCCTTCGGTTGCTTTGCCGCCCCCGGGGCCCCGGGGGCCCCCCCCCCCCCTTTAACCCCCTTTTTTTTTTAAACTTTTTTTGGTTTTTTTTTCCCCCCCCCCCCGCTTTTGGTGTTTTTTCCCCCCCCCGGGGCCCCCCCCCCCCCCCCTTTTCCTGCGTACTAATGTTACTACATAAAATTAGTTTGATAGATATAGGCACAAACACAGGTGTGAAATTTCAATATATTTACTTTCTCGGTATTTTCTTGTTTAACATTTTATGTAGCCTTTCGAAATGTTATTCTATTAAATATTTTAAAGATTGGAACGTTAAGCATATGTTATCTTAGACTTTTTCATTAATATTTACTGTAACTTTTTCATACAATATACAACCTTCTTTCTTGTCCACAATAAAGGATTATAAGCACGAAGTAGCACCAGTATTCCGATAAATTATACCCATATGTTGCACTAAAGATAATGTGACGTGATAAATGATAAAATTTGGAAACAATTCCATTAACAACGTACAGAATAACCGCATTTCTGTTCGTAATTATTGAAATTATTATTTCAATGGTAATGAGTAAGCACATTTAATTTAGGCCGTAACGAATAATTGAAATTTTAATAACGTGTATATAATTTAAGTTATTTATTGTTGCTCCAACGTAATTGATATTATCATAATTTATAATATAATATTTTGAAATAATAATATTAAAAATTTAATGGTTTTTATCTCTTTGACGCATTGCATGGCTTTAAAACTGGGCAATATAGCTTTTAATTCAAAAAACTTGCGATTTTATTTATAATATTTATGTTTTTAATTTTTTAAGTCTTATGCATATTTTTTCTTGTTTGTTTTAATTCATATAAAACATTGGTTAAGTCTTGGAGTGTCGGGTTTTAATACGAAAATATGAAGGTTCCATGAAAAATAAAAATAATAATTATATGCTTTATATGTCGATTTATTAAATGAAATGAAACGTATCATATTTGTATGACAGGTTCGTCATATACCATTTATATAAGACTAACCTGTCATACAAATGGTTAGTTTATTGTTATAAAATTACAGGCATTCTACGGAAACACTAGACCCGTCTACAAAGTGTCGACGGCGACTACAAATTGACTTCTTTCCGTTTGTCAATTTGCTGTGAAAAAAGCAATAAACATTTTCCGTTCGTAGTGGATATTCCTTTCCATATCAAACGCTTATAGTAAGAGAAATTTAAGGTATATAGTTGACTTTAAACAAATAGATTTAATGTAATTATTTGTGCAGTTTTTCCTTTTAATCACTAACTGCTACTAAATTAGTTGTGACAACCGGGATGTACTCTTTAAAAAAGGGTAAGAAAAAAGAAAGAATTGTTTAAAATCTAAAATTTGCAGATTTGACTTTGATACTAGCTACCTTACAACTTTAGTCCCGCCGTCCGACACAAAGCATCCGAAATGTCAGGTCGTAGTTAAAAAAATAAATATAATTAAGTAACTTTTATATTTCACGTTTCGTACAGTCGAATTTCTTTCGAGTTTCTTTAAACAGTGAAATTTCATTTGCTGACATTCATATTCAAGCTGTATAGACAAGTTTTTTAGTTTGGAAATTGAGGGAACCCTTTCGCTCGAACAAACTCGTAAGCTCGAGTGGGATCACAATGAAATATCATAATTGAGAACCCGAAAAATTCAATACCAAGTACTCAAAAGAAATATTGAAGAGTTCGTCTTAACAAGGTACTTGGCATGAGATAAAAATCAAGTACTATTTTTGGATATTCAGATTCTGTATTCTGTATTTACGTATAAACTAGTGCAATTTTTACATAAAGTTTACATTAAGATGATTAATTAATAACAATAAGTTATTAAAATTTTAAAGAAAAAACTGTAAGTGTCACTTGAGTTACATTTTAAAAATATGCGTTAGAAGTATGTACATATATAGTAGGAAGTAGTATACATTGTTTGATACTACGTAGAAAGAAAAGAAATGACGTTATCCCTGTGAATGCGTCAATATACTTATGTATATACAAATATTTGTAAAAGTTTAATAATCAAGGCGAACCTGCTGAAAATACGTTTTCAAGAGACTATTGTTACCTTACTTTTTGGCTAGTAAAAAATTTTGGCCATTGTTATGAAAATACATTAAGTACACTCTAGTTAATTATAAAAAATATCACGTTTTCAATAGAACCAAGCACTTAATACAAAAGTTCGTTATTTTCGTTATAATAACGACAAATACGTGATCCGAAAACATAATGGCTTTATTGGGCATATTCCACTTCAGCATTTGATTAATCCCGAAATCATAGAACCGTTTCATTTGTTTCAGATGGAGCCGGGAGCTGAATGAATACGAGCGCCACTCTAGTGTTAAATCAAAAACGAAAATGAAAACATGACGAAACATGTTTCCACCCCAACCGTTCCACAGAGCACGGACTAAAGCCTATGAGATGCACGATGCAAAAGGACGAGTAAAAATAAAAACAGATGCACTGTCAAACTCCTATTACCTCATTATAATATTTCTAATTCAATCCGTTAATTCTAACACTACGAACATGAATAAGCAGAACGCGCCAAGTGAAGACTACGATTCGATCTATAAAGTCAATTTTGATAACCCGTATTACAATAGTGAAGACTTACTAGATAAATTTTACGGACACGAAAATTCGTATAGTAATTATGGTGATTATAAACGGTATTATTTGAATCCATCTAACCCGATCCCCAAGACGAGGGTTAAGTTCAAGATTAGTAGTAGGATAGTTCAGACTAAGTATGGAAAGTTACAGGGCATTGTGTTGGCGATGGACGAACATAGATATTTGAGTCCACTCGAAGTGTTCTTAGGTGTCCCGTATGCTACTCCTCCTGTAGGTTCCAATAGGTAAGTTAATATTAATAATTAGTCCCGCAAATGTGTTAATCATTACAAGAAAATCATTATCTACTTTAAATTCTTAAATTTAAGTTGTTGAAATATTATAATTTTTTTTACCATTGTTAACAATTTTAAGAATACAATCTATGTTAAATGTTTAAATTTAGTATGTTAACGATATAATTTCTATCGCTTCTAGTATTTTTAGGTTCTAAATTTATTTTATTATGTTGTGATGGTCTTATAGTATCTATTTCAGGCCTTTTGTATCATGGGTTGAAAAATTTATATCCACAACTGCTAATACGGTACTATTATCATAAAAAAATGTTTACAACTGGAGAAGTCATTGATTTTAATACCCATAAAACTAGGTTCAGTCCAACTAGAACACCATCACCCTGGGAAGGTGTCCGAGTCTCTGATCGGCCGGGAGCAGCCTGTCCACAAAAGTTGCCCGATTTCGATGATGAGAAACTACTACTCGAGAAGATGCCCAAAGGACGATTGGAATATATCAAAAGACTGATGCCGTATCTTAAGAACCAAAGCGAAGATTGTCTGTATTTAAATATATTTGCGCCGTTGCAGAGTAAGTCTATGATAAAATACTATTATTTGTACGCTAAGAGATTATGAATTTTCTTTTTCTTTAGCACTATGTGTGCTTTGCGTGCTCAAAATCTACACACTACTAGAACATTTTGAGTGCGAATAGTTGTCAGTCATTTAGGAACAAATGAAAGTGCGTGCTTTATTCATGAGTATTAACATGTTGCGCCTATGTCGAACTCATGAAAAGACTTTATTATCATTATTACGTGTCTATTACTTTATACCTAGTTTAAAAATTTGCGCCTATAAAAAGATGCCAACGTCAACCTGCCCACTTATAAAATTGCATTTTAAATTTCAATGCAAAAATTTAATCTGGTCAAATATTTTATAAAACTTTTTGCAATAAATTAATGAAATGTTTCGCAAATAACTCGTATTCACTTGCGAGTTTCAATTAGAGCTTCCGTAACTTTTCATGTGAAATTCTAATACAAAAAAATGGGAAAAACAAAACACGTTTTTTACTAAGCTGTGCTTTGAAATCGACACTATTGAATAAAATTCTGCTTTGTCGGTGCAATATGTGTACCTATCGTGTTGTTCAAATATTTTGAGTTAGAAGTATTTGACTTCTGGGCTTTATATTACAACATAAAGATTTCAATATAAATATAATTATTTTGTATTATATTTGTTTGCAAAATTCGTACCTATAGGTAATTTTCTTTTGTACCGAATGATATCAACATTGTCTTGAAAATAAAAAATATAGATATAAAATTAGATAGTGCATGTGAAACTCGAACTCACTACCCATACCTCACTGTGTCGTTGCTCTCCTACCATAAGGGCTCGTGCACACAAACGACACAACGTCAATTGTGCAGCCGGAAATACCCGAATATAGATCGACGGCTGCCGCCGACGGGTCTACAACTACCGCCAACTTTGTCAAACTATGCTACGGTTGCATTAGCTGTTATTATGGTGCCACTCGTGTATATGAAGCTTAAACAAATAAAAAATTTCGTTAATTGAATTGTTGCTTCCACTTGAATTTTTAATACTATTTATTAGTTATATACTATACTTAAAAACACACTAATAAGGGCAATTTTACTGTTTATATAAGTACTGTTATACTACAAATTATAAAAACACCATTAACGATTTAACAGAAGATTAGAATAATTTAGAATTATATGTGGCTGTTATAAAGATTCTATACATACCACAATTTTATATTTTTATAAACATCGTTCTTAAAAAGCGATCAAGCAACACAAATATTTGTGTAATAGCTTGTATATCTTTTCAGTGGATGAGACAAAGATAGCGCTGCCTGTATTAGTGTATATTCATGGAGATAGTTATTCCTGGAGCTCCAGCAGTCCTTACGATGGCGCTGTTCTGGCCAGTTATACTGATCTTGTTGTTGTTACTCTAAACTTCAGACTGGGAGTTCTAGGTAAGTTTCAAGAGTGAACTCTATCCGTTGCTCTTGTTTGGATTGGGTAGCTAGGAAAGACACTCTCCTATGTCTGTATTAGAGTTCTATTAATATAATATAAAAATCATATTAGGTTATTTCTAAGTAGAAAACGTTTTATTAGCAGTTTCAATTTATTAAGCATGAATTGAAATATCTATCTAAAATTGTATAAATCTGAAGAGTTCGTTTGTTTGTTTGAACGCGCTAATCTCAAGAGCCACTGGTTGGAATTAAAACAAATATTTTTTATGTTGGTTAGAGCCTTTACCTCCTCAGCTTTAGAAATTGACGCGGACAATGTCAATTTCTAAAGCTGAGGAGGTGGTAAAATATATGTTGCCCAGCAAAACTTTTTCACGCGGATAAAGACGAGGGCACAGCTATTTATGTATATATTTAGTTAATGTTAATATGAGTTACAATAAGATATAGTGTAATATGTTAATATAGATTTTAGGACTTTATTACTACATTCTTTTAAAACTATATTACATTTTAACTACTACGCAAAGACCGGCATGTTTGCTATTACTTATGGACCTTTCAACGAGATATATCTTCCGTCGAACTAAGGTTTCGTTATAATAAGCGATTTGCGGGATCAGTTAAGTTGGCAGGATTCCCAATACCCCAGAAAGTATTACGTTAGCTATCGATCGATTCGACTTGATACCTAGATATCTCAGCCTTATCCTGTTTGAATATGAGAAGGGCTAATATATGTTTAAGTGTCCCAATTTATAACGACTATTCTTGGTGGTGTAATTACTTTATTTCTGTAAATGCCGCTAGATTGTAAAGTATCTAGAAAAAAATATATGTTACTAGCTGTTTCAGTGAATTCGTTCGCGTAGAATAAGTATTTTGAGCAGTTAATTTGTTATTGCAAACCTCCCCTTCATCTATATGAATTAACGCTCTAACCCCGCAGTTACCCGTCGTTCTTGCAAGTTAATCTTAAAAGATAGACATATTATAGTTTCACAAACTTTTTTTTAGATCATTTAAAGGGGAATCATTCTTACGTTATGGGTATCTACAAGTAGTTCCTGAGATTAGCGCGTTCATACAAACAAACAAATTTATCAGCTTTATATTATATTAGTATAGATATACAATTGAAACTTACAAAAATATTATCGTTCGTCTTACATCAAACTCTCTATTGGTATATATATGTCTATATAAAATTTTTATTGGACTATAAACTCAATGGGTAGTTTACAATCTTAGGGAAAACTTACAACGACATAAATAATGACTTCCACCAGCCCTTGTATATTTAACTTTTAAAATTTGTCCCTTTTGTTAAGATTGATATTGATTTCGATGTTAGTAAGTGTTTTTTATAGGTAGTTTAATAAAAACGCGTAAGATATGTACACATTAAACAATACACTTAAATAGGTAAAACGCTATTATACATACATACAATATAAATATATATATATTATTTTATTGTTACTCCTCTTAAGCTGATATATTTCGCCTTTCATACCGTTAAAAGTAATGTATTTAATGTATAAGTTTTACTGCTTCGTTTGTAGGTTTCCTCAATGCAAATCCAACTCCTCACTTGAAGGCACGGGTCGCTAACTATGGACTAATGGACCAAATAGCAGCGTTGCACTGGGTCCAACAGAATATTGCGCTCTTTGGCGGTGACCCAACGAACATCACCCTTATGGGACACGGGTCAGGGGCGGCCTGTATTAATTTTCTGATGATATCACCCACTGTTATGCCAGGTATTTAATAACGCTGCCGAAAATATTCTGCTCGTTGTATTTATACTTGAACTGGCTCTATGAGATTATCTTTTTAAGCATCTGAACAATTTTAATGATTTCTATTACGATTATAAAATTGATAATGCTGGGTGGTAGAAATATCGCAATTTTGTTCGTGTTATACCACAGATAAAAGATGGGTTGTACTTCCCATCTTTTATCTATCACATTTCATCAATAATTTAGTCTATGGATATCCCAATAAATATCCAAATCCAAAATAGATTAATAGCGCATTTTGTTTAGATGTTATATGGCTAGCGTATTCAACTTCCCATCAAGTCCATGCTTTAATATTTGTCTTCAATATTTATTTACAGGTCTATTTCATAGAGCCATACTTCTATCTGGTTCAGCTCTGAGCTCCTGGGCCATAGTAGACGATCCAGTGTACTACTCCCTGAAACTAGCTAAACACCTGAACTGTTCGATCCCAGACGATCTTGGAAAAGACCACGAGGTTATAGTGGATTGTTTACGGGAAGCGTCCATAGACGAATTGCTATCTGTTGACATATCAGCGCCGAATTTCCTCACAGCCTTCGGCCCCTCCGTAGACGGGGTAGTAATAAAAACAGATTTCGCAAAGGATTTCCTGACTGTACATGGTTCAGGGGATTTTCCCAGTTTCGGGCCGTTGAATAACATGTTCCAAAATGTACATAGCAAGAGGAGCGATAGTGGGAGACGGCTATTCCAGAATAAATATGATTTACTGTTCGGCGTGGTCACTTGTGAGGCGTTATGGAAATTTTCGGCGAACGATATACAGAATGGAATCGAGGCGGAGAAGAGAGATCGAATGTTGAGGTGAATATTTAATTTCATTTATCATTGGAAACATATTTTCATAATAAAATTTTTTCACAAAAATAACCGAATTCAAACAGTCAATTAAAAAGAAAAAGAAAATACCTTGCAAACCTAATACATATTTTGATTCAGTTTAACAGTGGGGATTGGGGCAATGCCACTTTGTAAATAATTAATTTCCAGTAAAGAAAGAATCATTAAAATAGATTCCTAAACGACGAAGTTAAGCGTGAACAAAAATAAATAAAATCATACATACGAATGGAATTTAGAAGTTCTTATTTTTTGAACTATTTTAAAAATAAGCGTTGCGAAATTACTCAAGTAAAAATCATATTACTGAAATTCTTGATTCAATTTACAATTATGACGAAAATTCCTTGAACATTTGACCTTAAAACATGAGCAAAGATTCATAAAGTATTTTGATCGTATTTCATGAAAAATATTTATTCTTTCTCGTTTCGTGTGCTTAAATGCTGTATGTCTGTTTCTTCTATAATATTTATTAATGCGTATAGACATATAGCAGTTTACATTTCTATGACTACCAACGCTCTATTATGGTTCCGCGGAATTCAAACCTATCGCTTTTCCATCCGGTTTGACTATTGTGCACCACTGGGGCAGGTCACAGTGTATGGTTCTTCGTTATCATTTATTTCCTTTGCAGGACATACGTACGGAACTCCTACACATATCATCTAAGTGAAATCTTCTACACGATCGTCAATGAGTACACGGATTGGGAACGAACGGTAGAGGTTTGTTTGTTTATAGAGGCAAAGTACATTTATACAACCGATTGCATTAGGAATTGTTAATCGACTTTCCATTTGGACTGAAGATGAGTGTGGGGCTCAAAGCGATTGGCAATTAAAAATAGTGTCGCTTTGACTCAAAGGGATATTTATGAGATAAATACAAATGAAAATGCATTCAGTTGTATGAGAATAGAATAAAACAGCTGAAACTAGAGAATAAATTCTATCATAACTACAAAAAAAACTAGACTACTAACTTCAAACCTGATTGAATCTTAATATTAGGCTGATAATCTATAATTGCTAAAATTGTTGGTTATTTATAATTAAAGTCAAATTCCATATATGTTTAGTTAAACTAACATAAGTACGTACATAGCTATAATTAAACCGAGGTTAAAAATTACTAGTTCGCACATCGTGTACTTAAAAGGATCAATAGACAAAATACACACTAAAAACAAACACGGGAACAAAAAATGTCCCTTACCTAAAGTTACCTTTGAAACATGAATATATATCACATTTGAAAAGTTACACTAGCGGGACTCGAACCGGCATCCACAGTTGTCCGTACTGCTGATCTAACCAATTGAGCTACCGTGTCCTGCGTATCGTCATTGTCGAATTCCTTTAACCCAATTTAATTATATCCCGCGCAATTAAAATTCAATCTTAACAATTACTTATTGCGGAAGCCAGTTCAAGTCTTAAGCGCGTCGTAAAGAAATTTCAATCCAAAAAAAAAATTTAACATATGTTTGACAAATATAACATAATTTGTTGTAAACCTTTTTATTTTTATTTAGACCGTAATTTTATTATTTCTTTATTTACTTGTTACCCTTAAATAGGATAAAATGTTTTTCCAACGAATATTTAAACATTTTCGCGTAAAGAAAAAGAGATTCTCGTTCTTTACCAAATTTTCTTATTAAATTAATTCTCGTGTTCCCCCTCTGTGAAATATTTAAAATTACCTCATTAAGAGGGCTTACAGCTGTTTACAGGAAAATTGAGACTTTCGGTTAATTAAACATAATTAGTCACTGATCTTGAGACTTTAACATTGATGATAAATAACTTAATGAGATGACTGGAGTATTTTTAATTAAACCCAAATTATCCCTGTATCTTTCGTATTAATACTGTGTAGTACAAAATTCAAATCTCATTAATCAGTAATTTCTTTATGGCTAATAATTAACGGGCCGTGGTTTCTATCCTCATCGCGTGCTATAGTTTCAAATCAATTTATATTTAATTAAAAAATTGAAAATAAATTGAAAAAAATTTCGACTCGGGCAGGACTTGAACCGGCATTGTCAGAGTACCGTGCTGTTGCTCTACCAATTGAGCTACCGAATCACGCTGAGGATGCCGATGCCGGTTCAAGTCCGGCCCGAGTCGAAATTTTTTTCAATTTATTTTCGATTTTTAAATTATATAGTGCCTTCATGTGGAACATGTAAAAAATAATAAAGTTTTCAAACAATTTATACTTTTCCTGAAACAAGATGGGCTTTGTTTGACCAGATATTCAGACAAAATCCATCTTGTTTTTAATGGGTAGTAGGATTATTGAAATTCCTTCCGAGTCACGAAAAAGGCGTAAATTTTAATCGCGTTCCCTTTACAGGCTGTGGATTTCGGAATATTGAAAGCCAAAATAGGTCAACACCGCATAATATATTTTGATGTATATGTATATGTATATTTAGTTGGGGTAAATTTATTCCTCCATAATAAGCTCTTGTAAGAAACATTTTTTTTCAAAAATAACAAGTAATGGATATTACATACAATGTTTAGAATGTACAACAAAGCGATTTATTCGTAACTACGTTGCGTTCTCCTTTTTCTTAACCCAAAATAATATAATGCAATTTATATGGCAACCCTAAATGACTTTTATTCTCATCAATCGCGTTTCGTACAAATAAAAAGGCCACCATTAATAACTGAGCCTAAATACCTGCTGAAACCTCGTCCAATTTTCTTTCACATTCACTTGCGCTATAAAAAATAAACGGGGTTATCCCTTATCAAATATAATCTTTGGGAATTTGTATTTTCTTGTTTTCACTATTCAGGAAATGAACAAGAGTTTTGTTATGGTAAAACCCGTGTTTCCAGTTTTAACGATGTTGCTTATTAATCAAACATTTTCTTATAACATCTAAGGTTGGCGAAATTTAATTCAATTAATTAATTAATATTCTATACACAATACACGGCAAATTTAATTTTTATATTTAAAAAAGGATTCTATTGATTAGGATGTTTCGATTATATTAGTACTAGAGAGATTATTAGTGTATTTTTTTAAACTTGGCAAAAGACCAGCCGATACAAATATCGCCGACTTGCAAACCTTTGTTAAGTTAGAGTTTATAGGAGTTGTTGCCACAGATGACACAAGTTTTAAAAAATATCGATTATATATGGACCAAACGACCTCAATATTCAAAATCACCTAGTTCTTTTACCATTATAAACTCGATGTTAATAACTTATTACAATTGTGCCATGAGTGGGACTTTCCTTCTATTGTCGTTGACTCTGCTCTCGCTCTTATGTATGTCAAACAAAGATAGTTTAATCTGTGAATTTACATAAATTCATTTTTAGGATTTTTATTAATTTTGGTATGAAATCGTAGTTTTTACTAAGTGAATTTGAGGTAGTTATTTAAGATAAATTTATGATCTCAAAGTGTCTTTTAGTGTAAAAAAATGTAAACCCTGTAAACAAAACAATCTTTTCATGTAAATTATGTGTTTGTTTACCAAACATGCCAAGTTAGAAAAAATACACTATATATTTGTAGTATTAACTGCTTGGCGCAGACTTGGTACTTTTTGAAATAAGGAACATAATACCATTTTAGAGCCCAATAAATACCCGTGATGCCGCCGTATCTGCATTATCGGATGCACAATATGTAGCTCCTCTCGTTCAGAGTGGAGATCTTCTCAGTGGAGGACCTAAGCCGACAACAAGCGACGAAGATGGACCTGGAAGACCAACTAAAACCTATTTCTATGTATTCGACTATCAGACCAAAGATGGCTTTTATACTCAGGTACAAAAGATTTTTATATCACTTTTATTTTTTCTGTATTTTACGCGAGTAGTACACGATTAAATAAAATACTTTAACGGTTCAAAGAAAATATATTAAATGTTGTCTATAGTTTATGCGAGTAGTACGCATTTATAAACACTATGACGGTTTAAAACACGATATATTAGTGAAATCGATTTTTAACTTTGGCCCGTTTCGGATGCTTTGCAGCAGCCGTGGTCACGGGGAGACAAAGCGTCCGAAACGTCGGGCCGAAGTTAAAAATAATTTTCAAATACGTTTAACTAATATATCGCGTGTTAAACCGTTAAAGTGTTTTGTTTAAATGTGAAATATATTAGTCAAACTTATTTGAAAATTATTTTACCCACGACGTTTTGGATCTGTAGCAGCCGTATCATGGGCGTGATGACGTCGGGCCGTAGTTAGAATAATTTTCAAATAAGTTTAACCAATATATTTCGCAATTAAAACCGTTATAGTGTTATATTTAAATTGCTATTATATATTAACTTATTTAAAGAGGTGACACAAATTTTAGAACATTTCTAACTTTCGAACAATACAATACTTAAAGTTATATTCCTATATTCTCAATTTAAAAATACAAATCCCCTTACGTTGAAACTGTTTTGATCTGCATAAAAAATAATATTCATTTAATAAGGCTGTTCTTCGGGATTACAGGCTGTAAAAAATAAATTCGTCTGTAAGAGGCTAATGAAAATTTAACCAGCCCTGAAACAACAGATATTAAACTTGGCTTTATTTTGATATTGAACTTTTACGGTACATTACGTCGGTTAATAACTACTTAAATTGAAGTTGTTGGGCTTTTTGTTAACTGTAGGTAAGTTATTAGTGTTATAAATATAAGCTCGCAGTACAAACTCTTCTATGCTAAATATATTCATTGTATGTAACAATATTATTGTGGGCTTGAATAATATGTGACGGTTCTTTTGAGGTGTGATAAAAGATGAACTATCACTTGGCCAAGGCTGAAGCAAAATACTATGGCTTTTAAGTAAGTCTTATTATGTAGGATAGTATGAATGGATATCATAAACGGTATAACATTATCTTAGTAAAAAACTATAACGCGATGCAAACCTTAACAAATTTGAAAATTTTATTATTTTTCACATGATGACACTATTTGAATTAAAAATAATTATAAATTGAAAAAGGCGCGAGAGGTGTATGTGCCAATAAATTGAAAAAAATCGACGATGACATGTAGGACTCAGTAGCTCAACTGGTTACAGCAGCAGCACGGAACGCTAAGGATGCCGGTTCAAATCCTGCCTGAGTCGTAATTTTTTTCATTTTATAATCAATTTTTAACCTTAACACATATAAAAAAATAATATGAGGTAAATTAGAACACTAATTTGCAGAGAAATTGAAATGTTTATACATTTAAAGCTGCCTAACGCACAACATGAACATACAAAATTGTGTAATTGGCTGTAAAGTTGGACAAAACTTGCATTTCGTTGTCTGGCTGTTAAAACTAATTTTGAAGCCATAACGACGCTACGTCCGGATTAATTAATGTCTTTACTTGTATTGTTAAATTTTAATGGCGACTGTATAGTTAACAAGTGTTTGCGTTCAGAATATGCCACGTGTTGGCTAAAGGTATTTTTAGTATTTTTTTAATCAATAATACAAATATAACGTATTTGTAAGTAAATCGTGTCTTTTAACATGTAAGCAGAAAGACAGATGTATAAATGCTGTCGCGTTTGTTTTTTTGTATAGGTAGTTACTTCTACTACTAACTTATATTTTATTTCGAGTGGCTTCAGGTGGATATTCATAATTACGCCCAGTGTAATATGAAATTTAAATTCTATTCAAATTAAATTTAAATATTCAACACAGCCCTAGTTTGTAAATTCTTATGTAGCTCAACTTATAAAAGTCAAGGTAAACTAGTAGGGTGAACCTTCAAGCCGTGTAGTACAGCGTGAATAAAAGCCAACTTCAATTTATCAAACTGAGCCTTTTCACTATTAAAGAAACTGAAAATATAAAAAGCTTATAGATTTTCAGTTTAAAGTGGCGCCTTTGATGTTATAATGTATTTACTAGATTTACTATTTATATATTTTTTTGTGTATTGTATAAACATGATTTTATTTAAAAAAAATATTGTATACTGTCTGTAGTTAACGCGAGTAGTACACATTTAAATAAAACACTTTAACGGTTTAAAACGCTTTAAATCTCCCTGTGACCACGGCTGCTGCAAAGCATTCAAATGTCTGGCCGTAGTTAAAAATAATTTTCTAACAAGTTTAACTAAAATATATCGCGTTTTAAACCGTTAAAGTGTTTTATTTAAACTTATTGTATACTTGTATACTATTACATATACACAAAAAATCTAATCATTAAATCATTTCACATGACAGCGATAAAATCAAGCGAATAGTTTTATGTAAATTACTGTTAATTAAATAAGTTTTAAGATTCTAACTTGCAAAATATATACTTTAGCTTAGTTTAATTTATTTTACAACCCATACGTGTTTCAATGTGGAACTGTGTTTCTATGTTTAGTACTTAAACAACTGCATTAATTTTAATTTTATAAATTGTCATATTACCTTATTAATAATGCAGATTGCATAAGTTTTGTATATTTTTTGAAATGAAATACTAAATACCGATTCAAACGAAATGTCTTGGCAAAGAAGTCAAGACTAAGCCGACCCGTTTATGAATTAGTAAATATTTGGTTTTCTTGTTTCATATTTTAATTATATTTGTTTATCCACTTTTTTAAACACTTTTTTAATTTTAGAGAATGGGTGCGGTGCACGGAGAAGAACTACCGTATATGTTCGGTGCTCCATTGGTGCAAGGTTTCGGACATTTTCCTCAGAACTACACAAAATCAGAAGTTGCATTAGCTGAGTCTATGATGTTGTTCGTTGCTAGTTTTGTTAAAAATGGGTAAGTGACTACCTTACTATTTATTTTATATATTTATGCTTTTTATTGCAAATACAATATAGGAGAGAATAAATAATACAAACTAGAACTAAATACTATACTAAGCGCAGCATCGCTGTCTGTAGCAATTTTTATTTAATAGTAATTATGTATTTAATAGTAAAAATATTATGTTTATTTTGCTATTTTTTTATATATGATGTTATTTTTAGTAATTATGACATCCAATTTTTTCTGTGCTAAGGAATTTGATTGCTCTTAGCCGATAGCCTCTTCAATCTTATATACTACTTACAATGTCAGTTTGACATGTATTCGGTAACACTCCGTTCTACTATAAATTGTAATTTATTTGTTCTATAACAGTATAGGTAGTGTTCTGCATCATACTGCCTTTGCATCTTTAATTTTATTTATTTTCCGTTTCCATATTATATTATAAAATAAAATGTGACATGTTTAATAGGAATCCTAACGACAATACACGTCAAGAAGCTCTGCTCCCAGCTTCGAGGGAGAGAAATAAGTTTCGTGGCATGAATTGGGAGGAATACGACTCTACACATCAGAAATATCTGGAAATAGGTCAGTAAAATTAACAAGTATGTTTGGTACACATTTGTCCATTTATTGCTTTAGACGATTGATTTGATTTTGTCATCCTTTTGATATTCTACGCTTACATTTTACTTCTACTATAAGTTAAGTTCTATAAGAAAAATCCCATTTCCTGTATGTGCCACGGTGTAAACTTTTTTATCACACTCGTACTTTTCGATTTTATGAACAAACAAATATTGTTAATAAGACTTATGTGCACTGTCCAACCTTAATATTTTTTTGTTTCTATATACTTTAAATCCAGTAGTTCCCGAGTTTTAAAAAGTATACACATAGGAACACAAGAATAGTAAAATATTTAATCCCAGTTAATCTTCATACAATAATGTTCTGGCAGTATTTATATTAAACATTTTCTGCATTCTAACTATATTTTCCTGCATTCAAATGATGTTGTAACGTTGTAAGAAAAAGAAATCCCTAAGAATAAATTAGGTAGCCTGACTTGAAGTACTTTGAAATGGGTCAGCGGTTCTAAAAGGCTTTCGGATTGCTGCACTTGAATTGAACGTGCTGCCTCATAAATGAAACAGGACTATCTCATGTTTAATGAGTCGGTCGTGTTTTTCTTTTCGTTACATCGCTAATAGTCGTAGCACTTGAGCTTAACGAGGAGTTATTGATCTCTTTCCCATCTCATTAAGTAACATCGTAGCTTAGAAATTTCTCCGTTTACGTTTAATAAGATTTATAAACTATCAGTGAGGATTTTGATCTATATATATATATATATATCTATTTTTCTATAGGTATAAAACCTCGTCTCAAAAACCACTATAGAGCTCACCAGCTCTCTGTGTGGTTACGACTAATTCCTGAGCTGCACCGAGCCGGCATGGAAGACGTCGCAACGAGGCACAATCTATTCAGAAACCACAACGATCAAGATCTATACGAGGGTATCGTCCGCCCGGATCCCTTAGCACGCACGGATAACGAAATTAGACGCAACTCCACTTATTCCGATACCGCGCTCACAACGGTCGACACGATTATTGCGACTTGCGTCACTATTGTCCCTAATAGGGACTTACAACCTTATAACAATACGGACACACTCGCAAGTTTGGAAGCCGCTGGCTACGCGGCGTATTCTACTGCACTAAGCGTCACTATCGCCATCGGGTGTTCCTTGCTAATCCTCAACGTCTTAATCTTTGCCGGAGTATATTACCAGAGAGATAAGTCGCGCTCTCGCGGGAAACAGCAGCGGTTCAACGAAAAACATTTTGAAACAATATCCGGGAAACATTCTCATTACCATATCGACCCGACGCTCGCGCCGAGCTTAGTTGTGGATGTTGAGCGGCAAAATAGAAAGAAGCTGGATCAGAGCTTATCCAATTTAAACTTCAAGGGCCCGTTAGATGGGAAGTCGCCCAGTCCGACTTTGAGTATAGATAATATGATGTTACCTAGTAAATTGGGGAGTAGAGGGAATAGTTTTCGTTTGCCAAATGCTTATCAAGGGTACGCTACGTTGCCTAAGAATATGGGGCAAGCGCACTTCGGGAATGGTTCTGGGTCGCCGAGGGATGACAGAGTGGCTCATGCAACGTTGAGGCGAGGTAAGAATCTTCATCCGCAAAATTTGCCTCAAGCGGCGATCGATGAGATGAGAGTGTGACAGTGTTAAACATTGAAACAAATGTAAATATAATGAAGATTTTATTAATCTGTATTATGATTATTAAAGTATCAGAGGTATTTCTTCGTTTTATTATATAACCTTGTTAAAAGCTTTTGCAGATTAATCGAGACCGAAATAGTTTAGAATTAAAAATAATACTTAGTCAAAGGGAAGTTTTCAGTTTGTCGATGGCCAGAGACAATCGCACTTTTTTTACCTTTAAACCAGAACAGTTTTAATAACTATATATTTATATAAGTACCTACGTAATAAAGTAACTTGATAATAAAGTTAGTAATCGTCGATATAGGGAAACAACTAAGTAACGTTCGTTGTCGAACTATGCAATATGCCTTATCATATTCCCCCTTTTTATGATTCCATTACAAAATGACAGTTAAACACGTCACATATTTATATAAAAGATAGTAATTATATTAATTTTTCAATATGAAATTACATAAACTATATTTAATTTATAACTAAATCAGTAAGCCATCAAATGTTATTAGTGCATAAGCCCTTTTGTTTGCCCATATATTTCATAACTATGAAAGTGTGGTCTTCTGCTAAACAATAACACTCTCAAACACATTAGAATAGCATAATAGAGAACATTAATAAATGTACAACAATATAAACCCCATTGTGATCTACTTTGTCACATAGCTTCGGACGTTTTGCGTAGAATGTCTTGTGGCTAACAATAAACGAGAACATAAAGCTCGGTTCAAATCGGATAGTGTATTTAGTGATGTAGACATCACTTATACTTAACGCCGCTTTTTTGAGAAAAATTCCAATTATTTCTTCTTGTGTACTGTAGTTGTGATATCTTTTGTTGAAAAAAAAAACGTTATGATTTAAATATCTTGTGAAAAATTATTAATCAACATAACGCAAGCGAAAACTATATAAAAGTGTAATTCTATTTTCAAATGTACGGCATGGCAAAGGACGATTTTATTTACTGATAATTAATCGATCACACTTCCGTGCCCTGCTCGACTTAGGCCTGCTTTTCCCCGGGTTTCAAAACCAGGCTAGTTAAATCGTTAAATCTTTGACCCAAGGAGGTAAGGTAAGTCAGATGTAGTGAAAAAATAAAGAGCTATTTTGTTTTTTGGGAAGACAAAGTATTGACAATTTATATTTATATATTAGCTCTATATTATTATTATTATAATTTCAAATTGATTTTGTGAGAGAAACTTATGTATTATTAAGATACTGATTTTTAGGTGTACTTTAGGTGATACTTGGTAGTATTTAGTTAATATTACGCTTGTAGTTAGTATTTGTTTTAATTTATTATTTCAGGTATTTTTCTATCGTTTCGTTATTTATACACAAAAATAAATATGACATGTATAACGTTTTTACATATTTACGTATATATCAATAGGCGAGATATCAGAAAACATTTCGTAAAAGTTCTCGATAGCTTACAGACATCGTATTAAACTTCCTACAAGTTTATTTCACAGATTCGATACGATTATCGAATCTCATAAGTCCGTGTCGACAAAAAATAGTTTCGTTCGATTTATCGATAGTCATATCATATAGACGTCAACAATTTTATGACGCGATAAAGAATTTATGACGCGCTAAAATGTTTGGCGTATTATGACAGATTTTATAGACAAACAACTTTGTACTGGAACGTTTTGTTTAACTTTTCGCTGTCAGGAAAATAAATACAAACACAACATTCTGTTAATCATTATTTCTAGCTGTACAATTGAAAAATAACTAGAGTTATTCACGAAATATTATTTATAAATCTAATAATAATATTATTTATGAATTTAATCAATCACAGATTATTAGTGAATTTTACTTTTAGCGCGGGGCGTGTTGTACGGGGGTATTTGTGTAGGTTTTACTAACCTATTTTTAAATTTTTTATACCTTCTTTAACTAAAAGTGTTTTTCATGTATAAAAAGAATTGGACAAATCTTCAATACTAAGTGAATTAATAGATAATGTATGAACCATAGAGCTTACAAATCATCCATATTTTTTTTATTGAAGGACCATACATTATATACAACATACATACCGAAACGCGAAAAAGATACAATTTATTGTAAGAGATGATAGTATAACTATGTCCATACCCGTTAACAGATTATGTACATATAGAAGTAAGTTAACCAACATATATCTCGATATTTCGATAAACTTGGCACATCCCTATTCGTCTCCGTGTATCGGCCATCTTCATATCACAATCTCGGCGGAGATTAACCGACGTCAAGGGTCACGCTTAATAAATTGAGACGCAACTCGGCTTGAGACGAATAAAGGATCGAGATTACAATGTACAGGAGAACAATAATGTGCCGTTATTCAATATTATTGTAACAGACTCTTTGAATCCGTTAAACCGTTTTGGCTCGAATTTTTAAATCCTATTTCAGGAGGTAATACAATATTTCAGCTCCTTTCGCTGTACAATATTTTTCGTGGAAACGCGAACGAAATGCGAAGATAAACTCTAGCAAAGCAAACTCGTTTTTATATTATAAATACTCTAACGATATAATAAAAAGGTATCTAATTAATTCTCTATCCTAAGTAAACAGCTTCCTTTACGTGTATAGGCAATTTTGCACATACTTTTATGAAATGAAATATATCCTATAATATAAAACTGAAGAGTTTGTTTGTTTGAACGCGCTAATCTCAGGAACTACTGCTTCGAATTGAAAAAATCTTTTTGTGTCGGTTAGATCATTTATCGGAGATGGATTAACTTGAGAACGACGGGACGCGACTGAGGTTGTGATTAAAATTTTAACTTTCAAAATGAGGTTTGGAAAAACCATTTTTGATGCCCAAAATTACTATTCCACGCAGACGAAGTCGTTGGCACAACTAGTATCTAAATAAAGGTAGGTAGAATAATTTAATTATAAAAATCTTTCATTATATGATCCTTCAAAAGTCAAGATATTTTTGCAAATATAATTGAATTATTATACAGCGAATTACGTATTCGGAGGTTCGTTGGAAAGATCCTTCCTTAAACATTAATTATTCTTGATAAGATGCTTCAATACTAGACTTTACATTTTTTGACCTCGACATCTTAGCGTATAATTATAATATTTAAATAAATTGCATATAATTATACTTTTTGTTCGTTTTTTTTTCAAAATTGTGATGACACTGAATAACTACTATTATTCTAATTGGTGAAAAGTAAGCTATTAATTTCCAATTTAATGTCTTACGGCAATCATATTTCATTGTATTTCTACGTTTTACGACTGTTTCAATTCTTTTCATTTATGTGATTAAGTATGTTAAACAAATAAAAGTTTTGATTAAATTTAATAAGAGTAAAAAGTTGAAGGATCAAATAAGGAATATACAACAATTTTTAAATAATATACTAATAGATAATGGTCCATAAAACAAAAAAAAATTAAAAAAGCGGGATAATATTTTAGTCCAATACTTAGTAAGTAATTAGTTTCCTCGAGTAAAATTTTTAACTTCAGCGTTGAGCGAATTTATATCTAACTACAAAAAAAATACTGAAATCAGCTCTACAGCATTTGGCAGAATGCTCATAGCACAAGTCATTTTCCGAAGTATTTACTACGCTATATTAGGATAAAAGCGAGCTATTTAATCCCTGAAGGAAACGAGAAATCCCTGCCCATACTACATTCCTACGTTTCTTTATTGCTCCATTGGATGGCCTCAAAGGAACTATCTAAGTGTTTTCTTTGTAGCAATGTTTATTCAGTCTTGAGTGCGATCGCCAGAATTTACGAAGTCCCCTTACTCGAGATAATAAAAGCACTCTCACTGCAGACTTAGATTGGACCTTCGCCAATATTGCAGCGGTTATCAAATTGAAATCGAAGATAAGAGATTTGGTGCCTTCTCGAATATACAGTTCTCGTCTATGACACGTGAACAAATTTATATTATTTAAATAAAACACTTTAACGGCTTAAAACGCGATATACATTTAGCTTTCTTATCGCAACTAATATAAAGAAGCTGACTCATATTTGCTAAGTGAAAGAGATCTAAACTCTGTGATGTGGATAAGATCACTGAAATAAGATCACAATGATAATTTCCTTTGCTTTCCTCAACCAAGTGTAAAAAAACATAACAGACATATGAAACATTTAAAAATAGAAATCTGACAACAGCCCCATGCCATTGTATACACTAGTAGTAATGAGTTCGAGAAATCAATTTCCTACGCATATAAAGCTATTTAGATTTACCCCGACCTATCTAAAAATCTAGGAATTCATCTACTACTAGGAGTATCAAATTCCGTCCGGAACAGGAACCATCACTGCCTATTGATAAAAAGCACTGGAGTGCCAAATACACGTTACGGCTTTGGTTTATGGAATGCCGAGAATCCAAGTCAAATATAGGTCGACAGCGTTCCCTAGTTTGAATTCATATGAAGTTTAATCAATAGGATTAATACAAACATGTTTTCTATTCGTTCTGTTTAAGAATGTTAATTCAAGTACTGTTTATAGTTTACGCGAATAACACATATTGACATAGAACACTTTTAACAGTATAAAACGCGAAATGTATTAGTATTAAGAATATTTAAATTTCGGCCCGTAGTTTTTGTTGCTGCAGCCGCGATCACGGAAGACAAAAATGGAGGAGTCCCTAATGTTAAAGTCATAAACAAATCAAAGAAGCTAGCGCTAGCGAAATATTTAGTTTTAAACGGTTCAAAAGTGTTTTATATCTCAATTTTTGCCCCCTTTCACCCCGCTAGTGTTAGTAATACAATTTTACTTTATTTGAAGGTTACGTTATATAAAAAAACCCTACAAGTTACACGTTCCAATCATCTTAGATTGTACATAGATCTATCAGTTATATCTTCAGAAAAAGTATTTTAAAACTTTATTTTATTTTACAGCTTTGTGTGCTATACAATAAAGTTCATGTACAAACAAAAAAATGTACCGAGAAGCAGCAGCCTTAT